GATTCACATGTATAATTTTGTGATTTATTGGATGGATCTGAGATGACCTGTGATGTATTTGATCTGTGTGTAATTTTTTAGAATTTGTGATGTATTTGATTTATGTGTATATGTAACTTTATGATTTGTGATGTTACTTTATTTGTGATGTGGGTTTGGGATGTTACTTTGATTTGGGGATATGCTTCCCACTTGATTTGGGAGAAAATAAAAAAAAAGAAACGGTACCATCTGGAACTGCCGTATTCTCTCTTTACTCCCCTAAAAAGAGGGATTTTGTAGCGCCCGTTCCGTCGTGGCGCCTAGCGGGAAAATTATCTCTTAAAAACCCTAATTGCGAAATTTGTTTCTTCGCTTGTCGTCTAGGGTCCATGCCATCTCAAGATCTCAGTCCCCGATCTATCGTCAAGTTCAAATCCGAATCCAAATCTTTCCAAATCAAATTCCTCCGCAAAAGTCTATTTTGCCTCCCCCGGGGTCGATGGGCCGAATTTCTCTCGGCCCATCTTCCCCTCTCCCCCGGCCCTCTCCTCTCCCCCGGCGCGCTCCCGCTCTCCCTCTCTCTCTCTCTCTCTCTCTCGCCCCCTCCCCTCCCCCGGCGCGCTCCCTCTCCCCCTCTCGCTCCGCTCCGCTCCGCCCCGCCCGCGCGCCGCGCGCGCGAGTGCGCGAGCGCCGCGCCGAGCGCCCCCTCCCTTTCCCCTCGCTCTGCCCGCGCGTGCGCAAGCGCCGCGCCGAGCGCCCCTTCCCCTCGCTCTCCTTCTCCTCTCCCTAGCAAGCTCCCCGCTCGCGAAGACGGCCCCCGCGCGCCGTCGTTCGCGCGCGCGCGCCCGCGTGGTTCCCCGCCCGAGCCGCGTCGTCTGCGCCGTCCACGTCGCCCGGCCCCGCTGCTCTGCCGCGCCTGCAGCCGCTCGGCCCCGCGAGCCAGCGCGCGTGCCCAGCCGCGCCGCCCGTTGTTTCCCGCGCGCGCGTGCTGAGTGGCCGACCGCCTGGTCGCCGCCGCCGTCACCCTCTGCCGCGCCAGCCCGCGCCTGTCGCCCGTGTCGTCGCGCCGCTCCAAACCGCCCCGCCGTCATCGCCGTCGTCATCGCCTCGGCCCCGCCACTCCCGCGCTAGCCTCCAAGGGACGGAGGCAGAGCCTCCCTCCTCCCTCTGCCGCGACGCCCCCGCTCCCTCCTCCTTTTCCCGAAGAGGCAAGGGGACAAGCCCCCTTTTCTCTCCCTCTTTTCCCCCTTTTCCCTCCCGCCGGCGTCATCCTCCTCCCTCCTCCCTGTCGCCGCTTTGGCCGCGACCGCCGAGCGCTAGCCCTCTCCTTTGACCGCCCTAAGTCGGTTCCCAAACCGACATTGCCATCCTATAAACCCGAGCTCCCCCCTTTTTCCTTTCCTCTCCCATTCACCTCCGCGCCATTGCCGCCCCTCTGTTTCGCCGTCGCCGTTCGTGTCGGAAGAGCCGACACGAGCAAGGACGCGGAAGGGGACTTCGGCCGCGCCCTCTCCTTCCTCTTCCCCGGCCCGAGGCCGGAGAGATTACTCCCGCGCCGTCGGCCTCTCGTCACAGCGCCCCGACCCGCACGGTAGTGCCTCTCTCCATTCTTCCTCCTCGCTCCATCTCCCCCCCTTAGTTTTCGGTGGTAGCACGAGTAGCCTCCCCGTAGCTAGCCGGCGCCGCCCCGACCGTTGCCGTCGCTCGCCGTGTGCTCGCCGCCGTCGCCGCTCGAGCTCCGTAGCACCCGCTCGTCGCCAGCCTCGCTCGGCGTAGCTCCGCCCAATCCGACGCTAACATCGGATTCCCGTAGCCGCGTAGATGCTCTCACCGTCGGGAATCGGCCCCTCGTGACCTCGTCGCCGTTTCCCTCTTCCCTCCCCGCCGGTTGCCGCCGCCGCGATTCGCCGCTGTCAAGCTTCCTCCGGCGAATCCGAGCCGTTGGCTCGTCTCCCCTCGTCTCGTGCAACCACCCGGTGTGCTCGTTTTCGCCGGTATCGCCGTGGTTCGCTCCGCCGCTCGCCGCTGTTGTCCGCCGTCCGTTCTGGCCGGCGTCGTCGTCTACCTCCTGCCAGCCCACGTGGCAGCCACGTAGGCGCCACGTCGGCGCCAGCTCAGCCGAGGTCGGGACGGGCCGACCCCGGTCAGCCCCTCCCGTGCGCGCGTTCCACCGCGAGCCGTGAGGCTGCGCGTGGGCCCACCGCATCCGTTCCTCCGCAGACCGTGCGCGTGCACCGCGTCCCTCCCCCGCCCGCGCGCGTGCACCGCATACTCCCTCCGCACGGTGAGACGAGCCGCTGACAAGCGGGTCCCACCCGGGACCGCGCGCGGTGAGCCCGGTCCACCGGCTCTCTCTCCTCCCTCCCGCGCGCGCGACCGACTTGGGCCGGCCGGCCCACCCATTTAGCTCGGCCGGACCGCCCCAATTCTCTTGGGCCGCGCCCTAGCCGCCCGATAAAAGTCTATTTTCCCTCCCTCTTTTCTTTTCTTTTCTTTTCTTTTCCAAAAAGGATTTAATTAAATCCTTTTCCTTTAGACCAAAAATCCAATAATCTTAGAAATTCAATATCTTCCCAACCGTAAATCCGTTTACTCCGTTTAACTTCCAAAATTCCTCAAATCTCGAGATCTATCTAATGGCATGCTTAGAGGTCATTAATAGGGCTTTATTTTTCGCCGTTTGTTGAGTTGTCCCGTTTCACGTGTAGTTCCGGAGCCCGAAGACCCGCAGTGCGAGGATTTCGAGGATCAAGCTCCAGATCTCGAGCAAGGCAAGCCACCTTTGAACATCTTGAGCCTATATTTGAAATTTAATTATGTTGCTTGAAAATATTATGCACTGATAGGATCGCACTTAATCTGTTGTCCCGTCTGCAAGGCAGTTTGGCGGACCTACCTAATTTGTTGCATTGATCCTCCCTTTGTTAATTGTTATATCATGTCCCCTTGTAACCATCTAGATGCGTCTCGATATTCGTGCACCCTGTGCGAGTATCGACGGACGCCTTCGAACTTAAAATCTGAAAAACAATTTGGGTAAAACTTGGGTTTTACAAAAGACTTGGAAAACCCGACACCTGGGTCGGTGCTTGCGAACTAAATGAATTTCCAAAACCGCGGACCGGGGAACGTACCGGGTGTACGGTTTCCCGCTCTCGCACTTAAGGACCGATTCCTTGGAATTTCATCCAAACATAAGTCAAGTACGACCACATGGGTGGAATGGGACACCCCTGGCTGAGTAACTAGCTTATCAGGGGAGCCTTGATGCCGAGAGACATGTGGATTCGCCGGGGTGGTGTCGGGGAGGACCCCTGGGCTTCCTAGCACAATATGGTCTGGGACCTAACCTGTTGTTGGTCTGGGACCCCTCTCGTCGGCATATGGTAAACCTGTGTCGGCTTTGGAAATGCCTTGTCATGAAAGCTTGGAGGTCTCCCGACGTGGCTGATCCCCACGGGCTGGGTGATCCGGGTTAGTAATGTCGTGTGGGTAAAGTGTACCCCCTCTGCAGAGGTTAACAAACTGTTCGAACAGCCGTGCCCACGGTCATGGGCGGATGTGAGGTGATTCCTAGCGTAGTTTTGTTTGACTACTGCTTGTGAAATTGCTGTTGTGGAAAGGGGTTCGATGTTTGAAAAATCAGCAGCTGACGGGATCAGCTAGGCCCGGGTGGCCGTTTGAAAGTTGTTGTCCCGGGTGGCCGTTTGAAAGTTGTTGGCCGGGTGCCAATCTTGATCAATTCTAAAGACTGATACATTGCACAAACTCCGACCGGACGAGACGCACTGTCTTAACCGTGTCGTTTGAGAAGCACTCACTTAGTTATTTTCAGAAAGGTGTACAAATAAAATCAATTATAAAAACAACAGCCTTTCCTTGAAGCCTGCATTAAACACTTAATTCTCATGGCTTGCTGAGTACTCCCGTACTCACCCTTGCTCTATATAAATATCCCCCCCTCAGTTGCTGAAGAAGATGAAGCGGATCCTGTTGATGAGGAGTTCTTCCAGGAGCAAGCCAGCTACGATGAGTTTTAGGGTTTCGGCCTAGTTCCCAAGTCGCGCCTGTGTTGATTGGTCCAAGTCCTGGCTTCCGTTTCCCTTTTGTAATGCAGTTGTGAGCTCGGGATCTGTCCGCAGCCCAACATGACTGTACCTCTACTCTATAATAAAGAGACCTCTGTTGCTGTGATATTCTGTCTTCCTGTGATACCAGCACTATTTCCTGGGACTGGTATCGATTAACAGGTTAATTTGGAGCGTCACGGGCTAGTTTCGGTCGGGACTAGTTCGGGGCGTGACAGATTTTTAGTCCCGGTTGGTAACACCAACCGGGACTAAAGATCCATCTTTAATCCCGGTTATTTGAACCGGGACTAAAGATAGCGATCTTTAGTCCCAGATTCGTAGTCCCGGTTGGAAAACCGGGACTATAGGGGGTTACGAACCGGGAGTAAAAATCACTTCTCCACCAGTGATGTTTCAACTCTAGATTTGACATAAGTGTTCTCATTTATAGCTAATTATTTTTTCAATGATAAACTATGTAAAGGTGGACACTTCATAATCTCAAGATATGCCGTTTAATCTTTTGAGGTGCTTATAAAGGTGGGGTGTATGTATAAGGCATGCATACGTATGTTCATATGGATAGCGCGTGCGCATATGGGCGTCTATGTTTATATTATGTTTCGAAAAAAAAGCTAGCTATCTTTTCTTGAGGACTTCTTGGCATCACTTGGTATTCTTTTTCCCAACAACAGAACTTATTATGTATTTATTGGCATATGAAGGCGATGTAAACCATGTCTACTATACCTTAAACTAGAATGCACTATTTACAGCCAAATTATCCATTTTTTTTCTACTGCGTATATTGAGTTTTGTAATTGAATTTCAGTATACATAGTGGTTTGGTATACTCCTATAACAATATACTCCATTATACATGAATATATTGTGTTTGGTGAGTAAAAGCGCACAAGGTGGTGATGTCTTCTCTCAAGAGACTAAAAATTCGTCCGCAATATTTTGTTTGATTTTATTCATGCAGAAATTAATCGTGATTACATATATATGCAGACCCGATCATAAACCGAAAAAACAAAACAAAAGAAGAAAAGATACATGCACGTAACCACTCACGACTTCTTGCGCGTCACAACTCGATTACAATTCTCAAAGCACCATGATCGGTCGTCATCGATCACTCGTTGGCCGTGACGGCGGTGGCTGTGGCGGCGGCTTCTTTCTCGGCGGCGGCGGCGGCGGCGTCGGCTTCCTTAAGAAGGCGGCGGCGGCGGCGGTCTCGTCGGCGAAGGCGGAGGCCGGGAAGGAGCGGCCGATGCCGACGTTGGACTTGAAGTAGACGCGGTCGGCGCCGTCGAGGCTCATCTCGACGATGGGGACCCAGAGCATGAGCCTGCCTCGCCGCACGCCGGTCATCCGCTTCATCCTCCCTTCCTCCACGAACGCCGTCACCTCGACGTCGTACCGCACCCGCGTCCCCGTGCCGCGGAAGTAGTGCTCGTACGGCGCCTTCTGCCGCATCCACACGAACCCCGTCTCCCGCACCAGCCCGCACTCCTCCAGCCCCCGCAGCGGCATCATCCCCTCCGGGAAACCCAGCGCCCTCATCAGCTCCATCGACTGCTTGAAGCACTCCACCGCCCCGCTCACCACCTCCGCCCCCTCCCTCTCCTTCCCAACCTCCGCCGCCGCCGCCGCCGCCATCGTGCCCGTCGTCACCGTCGTCGTCACGGACGCCATCGATCGATCGATCGCCGCGCGCTGCAGGTGACTGCTCGCTCGCGCGGTTGTGATGAGATGAGAGTTGGGTTGTGTGTTGCGTGATGCGGTGGTGTGCGAGTGAGGGGTTTTATAGGGGGGAGTGATCAGTAGGTGAGTGGTCGTTGAGCTAACGGTAAATGGAGCAAAATTTTGAGGGATTTGGTCACATTAGCTCACCAAGCGACCTGGGAGGAGGGAGGAACATAATGTTGGGTTCGGTCACGTTAGCTCACCAGCATGCGGCAAATGGATCAGCACTCCCTTCCCGATCCCGGGATCAGAACAGCTTCACCTGGCAGATTGGTGGTTGCAGGCAAGACTCTGTTTTCAGAAGGGCTACAGGGACAATTTCGACAGCGCTTGCATGCTCATCTGTTGGCAAATTTGGAAAGATCGCAATGCTAGAGTATTCGATCAGCGAGTCAGCAGACCAGACCAGCTTGCAGAGGCTATTAAGGAAGAGATTATGATCTGGAAAGAAGCCAGCTATTTCGCGAGTAGTAGCTCATAAAAACTTCTCTTCCATTTTTTTTCGTTCTGTAGCTGTTCCTAGCTTATGGGTGCTTGTGGCTAGGCCATAGCATCATTTCGACAGCTTCCTGTCGCTGTAAAAAATGTTGGGTTCGGTCGTTTGGTGTGTCGAATGGGTTTACCAAGATGCAATATCTAACGTACGTACGCAAGGATATCATGCTACGCCACACAATCTCTTCACGTGCTCCTTGCCTCTTGTTATGCGTGATGTTGGTGGGAGTTGAATTTAATGGGCTGTTATTGTAGTGGGCCTATTGAGGTGGATGTGCCATTAATGTCCCTAGGTGAAATAAGTTCACTTTTGCTCCTTTGACATAGAGTTTCAGAAACGTTCTTAAACCGCAATAACATATATAGCGTGTCCTTTAACTTGCAAAATTGGTTTAACTGGAAAAAAAATACCCGTGAGTTGCAACGGGTGAAGTCTATTTTAATCTTATTATTGTTATTTAATTTAGTTAAAATGAAATTCACGGTGGGAGTCCACTTGGATATATATATTTTTAGAAAATCATGAGCTGTAATTAGGAGTCCGATCGTCTCAAGTTAGCGTGCGAGTTTTTTTAAACAGATTTCTTATATGATTCCTTCTGTATTACCAAAAGTGAACGATCTTAAAAACTGACTCAAATACGGATATGTAATTCCAAAAGTAAACAAACTTAAAAACCAACTCATACACGGATAATGTACCAAAATACCGGTAAAATCATCTTCAATTTCTATAATAGTAGAGATAGGGTCCCAAGGTAGCATAGGTTTCGTCCGACGTGTCGTTTTGGCTCAAGCGTCAAACGAAACCAGGAGCTATACTGGCTTAGAACCCCCTTTAACCTGATTTTGTAAGTTAAAGGATATGGTATGATGTTTCTGAAATTCGACGTCGAGAAGAGGAACCTAAAATGAACTTATTCTTTTCCTAGGTAGCTGGTGTGAACAGCCCGTTGTAGGTGGTGGGCTATTGTTGGGCCGTTAATGTTGATGGTGCCCTAGTGGCCTGGTTTGCTAGGCACCAAACCGACACACGACGTGTGACGTGTTACACGCACCCCTTCCTCGAAACCGCTCGGAAATTGTAAAAAAAAAAAAAAGGAAAAAGGAAATCAGGTGGCCGGAATCCATCCATCGCGAGAGCAGAGGGAGGGGGATCGCGGCGGCGGCGGCAGCTGCGGCGAAGGGGGAAGCGCCGGAACGGGAGCCGTGGAGCGATCCGTCGGGCATCGGCGCCCGATGTGGGCGTGGGGCCTCGTCGAGCGCGCCGCCGCGGGCCTCCTCGGCCCCCTCGGCGGAGCCCATGGCGGCGGCCGATGGAACACCGCCGTCGCCGTCGGTGTCACGGCCGCCGCCGGCCTCGTGCTCGTCGTGATCGTTGTCTCCTCCCGCAGGTTCGTCGCCTCCCAACCCTTACTCCCCATCCTCTAGGAGGCCTGGTGTGGTGTTCCCTTCCTGGCTTCCTTTCGCTGAGTTGCTAGCGGGTGCTTTGATTGCAGAGGTGGGCTCAAATCGCCGTGGTGGCGGCGGCGGAGGAAGGCCGCGCTTAAGCCCCATGAATGGGTCAGCTTGTTCACGCCGGAGGGGAAGCTTAAGGACGGCGGAGTGAAGCTTCTGAAGAAAGTTCGAAGCGGAGTAAGAGAGTTTTGCTTTTTCGTTTATACTCCCTCCATTTCACAATGTAAGATTTTCTAGCATTGCCTACATATATATAGATGTTAATGAATCTAAACACATACATATGTCTAGATTCATTAACATCTAAATGAATATGGCAATGCTAGAAAGTCTTACATTGTGAAACGGATGAAGTATTCTACTATTATGTTTCCATGATTCGGTGTAGGTTAAGGAGTTATATGATTTTGTTCTATGTGCTTCTGTGACAGGGGATTGAGCCAAGTATCAGAGCACAGGTCTGGCCATTCCTTCTGGGAGTGTAAGTACTCTGGAAAACTTAATTTCGAGACGGCTATAGTCAAGGACTTACGTGTTCAGATGAATAATTATATCGGCAACATGCTATGATCATCTTGTACTTAAGCAAATGACAATTGATTTTGCCTCCTGGATTTGAGGAAAGACTTCTAGGCTAGCATCTCAACTTCTGAACATAGGCTAAGTGTGCAGGAGCATAACAGAACTTCTGATCATACCAGTTGTACACACATGCTGAGTAGTTACTAAGGGTGCGTTCTAAAGAGCTTATCTGATTGTCTACTCCCTCGTTTATTGTGAGCATGTTTCCCGAACCGCTAAATGGTGTGTTTTTTGCAAATATTTTATATATAGAAGTTTCTTATAAAAAAACAAATAAATTCATTTTTCAAGTTTGTAATACTTAATACTCAATTAATTATGCGCTAATGGCTCGCCTCCTTTTGTGTGCCAAGTACAACTTATAAAGTGTTTTTTTTTCTTTCAATCAGCAGAATGTGAGAAGAATGTATTGCTACAGTGAGGAATATTGTGTGGTTGCATATTGTAGCATATATATATGTGTGTTAGTTGTGTCTTGAAGATAGCTTCCATGTGATCTGAATTTTTCATTCTTATGCAGTTACAGTCTTGGTAGTTCAGAATCTGAAAGAGACGCGGTTAAGGCACAGAACAGGTACATTCTTCTGCATGCACATTTTGTATGTCTCTCTGTTCTTCCTGCTTTATCGCATCCTCATATACCTGCCCAAAGCTGACCAATCAAACCAAATCCACTTGAGAACCTTTCCTGATAGAGTTAACATGTTATATCTGCTACTCTTTATTTTGAAATTTGACTAGTGCCTCTTGTGTTCTTTTTTCTGGGTTATCTGAAGTTGACTTTTTAATGGTGGATGAATTTTGTAGGAAAGGTTATCTGTTATTGAGGAACCATTGCCTGCGAAAATCTGTCTACATCAATGAAGAGAACAAACAATCAAATGAAGCCGCTGGAGCCAAACATGTGGAGTGTGTTAGTTCTGAAAAAGGCGAAGACACTGTCAATCCAGCTGGATCTGAAGAAGTACCTGATAAATCTAGTGTAGAAGAGCATCTTGTTGGCGATGACACTGTTGGTCCCGTTGTATCTGAAGAAGTGGCTGAAAAATCTTTTGTCGAAGATCATCTTGTTAGTGAGGAGGAAAATCCATCTGCCAATCCAGGAGAAGAAGTGCAGGATGACACATCTAAAACAAGCCCTGAGAAGCTGACAGATGGAAATCATTCTTCATCTAGTTCATCTAGTGAGGAAGAAAGTGAATCAAGTGGCCTGACTCATGTAGAAACATCTCATATGGTTGTCGCCTCAGTTCAGCAATCTTTAACTGAGGATGAACAAGAAAGTATCCCGAGATATTCCAACACAGGAGGAAACATGGAAAATGATAGCGAGTTATCTAAGGCTGCTCGTCCTGTGAAATCTGTACGCACAATTGAGGATTTTGAGACTTGGCAACGAATTATCCGCTTGGATGCAGTTCGTGCTAATGATGAATGGGTTTCTTACTCCCCATCTCAAGCTGTAGTTTCCAGGGAGAAGGCAATTGAATCTGCTAAAGCTGTTTGTCTGAAAGATTACGAACATTTGGAACCACATAGGATCCGTCATGCAGCACGCCTTGTTCCAATTCTTGAGGCTTATGCCATCTATGACCCAGAAATTGGATATTGCCAGGGCATGAGCGACCTTCTTGCACCTCTACTTGCCGTACTGGAAGATGACAATGAAGCCTTCTGGTGCTTTGCTGGTTTTATGAGGAAAGCCCGTCATAATTTCAGGCTTGATGAAGTGGGCATTCGCAGGCAACTGAACATGGTAGCCAGGATAATCAAATACAAGGACTTCCATCTTTACAGACATTTGGAGATGCTCCAAGCTGAGGACTGCTTCTTTGTTTACAGAATGGTGGTGGTCATGTTCCGAAGGGAGCTGACCTTTGAGCAGACCCTCTGTCTATGGGAGGTTATGTGGGCCGATCAGGCAGCAAACCGTGCTGGAATTGCAAAATCATCGTTGGGGAAACTGCGGTTAGGAGCCCCTCCAACTGATGACTTGCTACTATATGCAATTGCGGCCAGCGTGCTGCAGAAGAGGAAACTGATAATAGAGAGCTATAGCAGCATGGATGAGATCATAAGGGAGTGTAACAGCATGGCTGGGCAGCTGGACATTTGGAAGCTCCTGGACGATGCGCACGATCTAGTAACGACCCTTCACGGTAGGATTGAGTAGTGATATACTGATACACTCTACTCATTTTGTACACGGCTTGTTGTATTACTTTACACATTTTCATCCTTACGTCATATTTCATCTCTTTTTCACTAACACTCCCTCCATGGATATGTGTTAGTTTGGGACTACAGACCTACAGTACCACAGGCTCAGTTGCATGGTGTCCCAGTCTAGCTGCCTCTCAGGATTAGGCCATTATCTTTTCTTGATCATAGTGGTGTAACTGGACCATCTATGCGTGTGGATTTCTTTCTTGCTGTGGTCGCTGTCAGTATCCTGCAAATCCATGTGATAGCATCATACCAATGTGCAAGGGGCAAATTCTACTTCCTCCGTTTTAGGTTATAAGGCTTTCTAACGTTGCCTTAAACAGAGCGTTTTAGGTTATAAGGCTTTCTAACATTGCCTTAAACAGAGGTAGTAGTGGACATGCGGTTGGAACCGGTAAACCAGTACCTAAAATAGAAACAAATCAATGGCTACCCCCAGTGTTTCTTGTCTGTGTACATAAGCATAGATGTTTGCTTCGTGAGGACTTCAACAAACAGAACACAAATATCAGAAGTTACATCAAAGAAGAATAATTTCACTTCTCTTTGTGTCGAATTCTCCGAAGTGTTCTACGCTACGAAAGTCATTTGTTATGTTATTTCATATCCCAGCCGTTCCAAATGAACAATATTTGGGCACAAATATGTAACACGGATGTTCGGGATACATAATACTCCATAATATAACAATACAACATACCGTTCCCCTCAACAAATATCATTATTTAGTTCTTTTGATCCAAATCATTTCACCTAATATAGCTTCATGGACCATATTGATTATCAACATTGTAATAACAGATCTACTCAGATTTGGTGTACTGCCGGATAGCAAATGCAAGCCCCAAGATCAAGATGGGGACAAGAAACTGCAAGATCTTAATGAGCATGTCATCGCCCTTGTCTGGGTTGCCGGGCGCTTGCTGGGGAGTGACATGAGTACGCTTTACTGGGATGGTTGAAGCATCAATCTCCCCAATGAGATACTTCTCCATCATCTCCCTTGCTGATTCACTGTGGCCAATGTCTTCAAAATCATTGGTTGCGTCTTTGCCTACGTGCATTGGAGAGGAGGGGTCAGCTTTGATATTGAGATGGCAATGGTTTAATAATGTTGACAGTCAGTTTCATCATTAATTATGAAATGAAAGAAAATATATCTCACCAGTTACTGCTAGCAACACTTCATCGCCACCAGGGTGCTCATCCATAAAAGAAGTAACATCATATACCTGAAATGTTAACAAGGATGAGATGTTATGGTCAAGTGCATAAATCTCCATATTAGCACAATTTCTTATCGGCAAGCAACATACGGCAGATGACATTAAATATGGGCCAAACATAAGTTTTTTATGTTTTCACCATGTTTTACTTCATACTCCCTCCGCTCCAAAATAAACAAGTCTAGAATGAGATGGGACATTACCTAGTACCATGAATCTAGACACTAGGTAATGTTTCATCCTAGGTTTATTTATTTTGGGACAAGGAGAGTACAATCCTAATCTTATGGAAGAGATGAATATGCATGTCTATACCAACCATAATTACTTAACCCAAGGAACTAGACAATTTAATGGTACATCTCTTTTTCACTGCAGAGAAAACCTACTGTTATGCATAGGCTGTAGTAGCACATGGTTCGTTGTACACAGGCCATACTAATCCATACACTTTCCAAATATCATAATTGTGAAGGGGAGAGACAACCAAAACTATTGACCACACGGAGTACAAATGCATAATGTTTTAGAGGGTCGTATGAATCAAATGCACTAATAACTCCTTTAATTCCACCATGCACGACTACTCTCTCTCTCTAATTCAAGTGGGTTGAATGTAAGCCATATCATTATTTGAGGTGCATGCAGTACCTAAGCACACTGAACACTAAATGAAAGTCACTCGACCTGCAATGGACATACCCGCTGATAGAATTATGCCTGCTTTCCATCTCTTTTTTTTTTTACGTAAAAAGGTAGAGAGATTCTACCTTGTAACCATTAGATTAATGGTGGGTACTTTCCATCTTAAAAACACATATTTGTTCGAGACTCCACAGATACCTTGCAGACATACCAATCATGAGTCCACAAAAGAATCTGATCGAGGAACTTTGCAAATACAAGTTACACAACCACCACATACTGTAATATGTTGATAGCCATATGTAATGCAAGCCCAAATGAATTAATTCTACCCTTCAAGTAAACAATCTATCGTGTATTGTCCTCTGGCTTCAAGTATCTAACCATCTGGCAGATAGCGCATTTATTTATCCTAAATGATAGAGGGGAAACGAGTCGATTAGTCACCAACAAGAACATTCTGCACAGTGCCCACAAGCTTTGTCATGGTCAGCATTTTATTTTGCTGTGTTTTCTTATGTTTGCTTGCTCTTACACTGAAGCAGATTCTTTATTCCAGGGATGTAGTAACCCAACATCCAAAACGAGGTTTGCTGGTGTGGAACCTATGCCCAGAGCAGGATAATGATGTGAGCTTGGTGTTTGCTTAGGGGTTGGGAGGACTACTACCTTTTATTTTTTCCTAAAAAAAGGTTATATCCCAGCTAGGGGTTAGGGGGTCATGTCAAGTCTGAAGTCATGTCATCTCAGATGCTGATAATTTGGACTCATTCCTATGAATAGTATGGGTTGCGAGTGATTTATTATACCTTCTTGGTGAGAATTGGTGACCACGAAACAAACACTAATCGCAGAGAAAGAGGATAAAGAAAGAAAAAAAAAACCTTCCCGGCGATGATGAGCCAGCAATCCTTGGTGACGTTGTGGCCGGCCACCTCCTCGAACCCGAACACCTTCTTCTCGCCGGCCATGTCCGCCGCCCACGCCCACGCCCTGCAACGCTGCAAAGAGAAATTCCCCCCCCCAAAACACCAGAGAAACAAACAATCAGCCCCCCTTCTTCGCGCACCCGAGAAGAAAGGAGAGAACTCCGCCACGCAAAGAGGCGCGCGGCTGGCTCACCTGCGAGGTGGTGGGAGGAAGCGGAAGCCGACGAGGAGCGCGTGGCCGCGGGGGGAGCGGAGCGGAGTGTGGGGGAGTCACGCGATCTGGACACGCTCCGCTCTCTCGGCGGCGCCGGAAACCCCGCGGTATTTGAGACGCTGCGCACCCCGACCCGAGTCCACCGTTTACTTGCTTGCCCATGTGGTTTTACCGAAATACCCTTCGTTCCCTGCCTACTACGCAACGCACGGCTGCTTTGGGTAATTGGGTCCGGCCCATTATCATGCCTCGTGGTCTCTTCCTCGCTCTGCACCAGTGTACCGTACTACTCGACAAGTGGTTTTACCCAAATACCCTTCCCTTCCTCAGCATGGCTGCTTCTTATGTGGGCCTTCCGTTGGGCCCGGCCCATCGGCTCGCCTCGTGGTGACGTAACCGTTGACACGTAGGCGGCGGCTTCCCCTACCTCGGAGTCAGTCGTCTCCTCCGCTTTTTGCTTCGCCATTTGATTTTTTTGCCAAGTCCAACGTCGCGCGAGGCGAGGCGAGGCGAGGCGAGAGGAGGAGTGGAGACCACCGCCGCCGCGGCGCGCGCGCGCTCGGAGATCTCGCCGCGGTAGCGCAGCGCGGGTGCCGTGCCCTGATCCGTCCGTGCGATGAAAGAGCCCGCGCAGGTGAGGACGGCGCGGGGCGGCGCGGCGGATGGGGTGGAGGTGGGGGTGGAGGAGGAGGAGGAGCCGCCGCGATCGGCGACGGTGAAGCAGGAGGAGGCGAACGCGGTGCTCGGGGCGGAGGGGTCCCGCCCGTTCGCCATGCGGGAGCTCAAGGAGGACCACGAGGTCGCGGCCGGGAGCGGCGTGAAGGCGGCGTCTGGGGAGAGGAACGGGATCGGATCGGCGGATGCCCAGGGTTCGTCGTACAGGTTCGTGGAGATGCAGTCCATTCAGATCTCACGACATGTACCGTATCAGTTCGATTTAGTCGTGTTTGCGTTGAGTGTTAATTGCTCTGTTGCCTGCAGAGTTTTATTCGATGTTTAACTATTGCTTTAGTTAGAATTCCACCACCATAGTTGAGTTAATCTCATCAATGTGAATTGTGATGCTGATACTTATGATAGTTGTTGTATTGGAATGATTAGCTGCAACATGCAAGCCTGCAACCATAATTCTTTGTTTTGATGAGAATTGTTTGTCAAGTATCAGTGGTCATAGTTGAGCAAAGCAAAATTACCGCCCTAGCAAATCTAGCAGACCTCTCACCTAGTCGACCTTCTTTTAGGTTAGTTTTACTGCTAGATAAGGATATATAAAAGCCACTTTTCGTGCCACTGTACATTGCTTTGCAATATCATGGGTAATTCTTAAACATTGTGGAATGTTTAATTCCATTCTTAAACATCATGGGTAAAATATTGTGTTATGTACAACATATAGTGCATGTCTATCCCATTCTCCGTACACATTGATGAGACTGTCTCGAATTTATTTCAGCCAAGAGAGTATGCAGCAGTTTTCATCCCATCATGATGTTGCAATGGACTTAATAAATAGTGTCACTGGAGTTGACGAGGAAGGCCGTTCTCGCCAGAGGATTCTTTCTTTTGCTGCCAAAAGGTTGTGTTATCTTTCCTGAATATCCTTTCTCTTGCTATTATCTTACACTTTAAATGTCCTTCATCTGTAATTACTTGTTCTGTCAAGTCTTATAAAATCTTTCATGCAGATACATAAGCGCAATAGAAAGAAATCATGATGACCCTGATGCATATTATAATTGGGCCCTTGTTCTCCAGGTACATCTGCATTCTTCTTAAGTTATGTGATGTGCCAGTTATTGTGTTGTACTGTTGTTAATACTTAACTGTGACCAATGTATGATTGATAATATTCTCTCAAAATATTGATTCAGGAGAGTGCAGACAATGTAGATCCAAATTCTAGTTCGTCCAAAGATGCATTGCTTGAGGAGGCTTGCAAAAAGTATGCTGAAGCTACCCGTCTTTGCCCAACTCTTTATGATGTAAGTTTTTGTTCCTCACATTTGTTTGATTTGAAGAATTTGAATTGATAAGAGAATTTTCTGAGTTGGTCTTGTCCAAGAAAAGATGAGAAGAGACATGGCCATTTTTTACCACCAATACTCTATCAAAAGCATTTAGAATTGTAGATCATCCCGCAGAATGTAATCTATGGTTCTGGTGGATAAAAAGTGCTCTCATTTGCTGTATATTAGATGTCCATATTTGACTATTTTGTACTTATTTCAAGCACCCATTTCCCCTTTTAGGCATATTATAACTGGGCTATTGCTATTGCTGATCGGGCTAAAATGCGAGGTCGTACTAAAGAAGCTGAAGAGCTCTGGAAGCAGGTTTACTTACAAGCCTCACACATGTACATGCTTTGTTAAAATGTTTATGCTATATATCTTGTTGCTCCCTGTTATCAGTATAATGTTTATTCATCTAGTGAAATTCCATTGATTGCAATTTGCATTATTTAAATGATCAACATTGTGCAATTTTCCTTTCAGTTATCAAGTTAAAATTCTATATGATAATATTTTTTAGTTATACTAATAAGTTGGTTGCTTCCTTCATATATCTCGATGGCAGTGTAAGCCACAACTTTCTCAATAGCCAATTGGGTAGTAAGCGGCATAAAACTCATAATGGCACTTCGTGATGACATTAATTCTTGCGGTTTACTGTAAGCTATGCTGACACAATGTGATCATCATATTTGAGGCTTATTTTTATCTGTCTTTTTCTATACTAAACTTAGCCAGTTTGCCTTTGATATTTGGGGCAAAATCAACCTAGCATATTCTTAAAAAAAGTTCTGTGTATCTCTTAATACCGCTGTTTGGTTTCGAACATATTCTAACGAAACAAACTGTATTGGTGGAAATAGGAATTGATTCCTACTGCAAATTTTGATGGTGATTTTCCAAATCTACCTTGTCCAGATAGTCTTGGAATGGGTTGTTCTAATGATCCATCACTTTATTGAAGCATATATGCTGCCCTGAGACTTGTTTTTTTTTCGGTTATGTGCTTGTAAATGGAAACCGGAATCACACTTCTAGTTTTGCATAGACTAACTTTTGTCATCACTCATCTATAACAAATGATACCTATTTTTTTCTACTAGGTTTTACTGAGTCATAAGGTGATCTTTTTCTTTACAAGGAATACACTGTCATACTGTTTAAAGTTTATAATGAAGTTTGATGCCACGTGTTATGTATGGTTCCATTCCATTGCAGGCAATACTGAATTATGAGAAGGCTGTCCAGCTAAATTGGAATAGTCCGCAGGTCAGAACCTAGATCCTTTTTCCTTATCTTCAGGACTTTACAACATAAGAAAAAAAAAGAGAAGATATGAAATGTTTGCCTTTTTGTGAAGAAGAAACATTCTTATTTGATTTAAGTGGAAGAAATTCACGTCAATGCAATTAATGAAATGGGAAGGTTCAAAAAAATATGGAGTTGTGCCATACCATAAAAATGCTATCATATGGGTTGTAGAATGTAGAGAACCGTTTGTAGAGGCCTTACCTTTACATTTAGAATACATTTTTTTAATCTAAATCCTAATATGCCCTTTAAGGAAAAAAGGCCTCACTGAATGTTCATTCTTCCATCAAATGGTCCAAAAGAAGAAATTTTAAAATTACATCCACTGAGAAACCAAAACTTGATATACCTCAATCGTAATACTGTACAATTCATGTCACTTCCTTTTAACCATTCTCTTCATTCTTCATTTTGGGCAAAGCTATGAGTTGAACATTGACAGATCATATCAACTTGGATTTTCTTTCCACACACTCCCCCTATTTTCAGTTCTCACTTGAGAACCCATGCCATTGTTGCTTATATTAGTTATATCTTTGATTACAGGCTCTTAATAATTGGGGTCTTGGACTACAGGTAATCCCACATTTGACTTCTTGTTATTGTAGCCTTCTCAATCTGGGATATTCCTTAGCTCTCTGCTCTTGAGCTATATTTGCTATGCTGTATTTTTTTTCAGCTAGGAGTATGAATTTGTATTGCAGGAACTGAGTGCAATTGTTCCGGCTCGTGAGAAGCAAACCATCATAAAAACAGCTATAAGTAAGGTAGATGCAATTTCTATTACTGTGCGAGAATCATTTTTGATGATTGTATCTTCTATAAACTATTGGGCTGTTGACGCCCCCCTTCTGATGTCTTGGCAGTTTCGAGCTGCAATTCAACTGCAATTTGATTTCCATCGGGCAATATACAATCTTGGGACAGTCTTGGTATGATTCCTGACTTCCATTACTCACCTAGCAATAATCTATTGTTTTAATGTAGCTGCAGTGACTTGTGAAAACCTTAGCTGATTAAGTTTTATGATAATAACAAGAATCTGTCTTCTTGTCTTATTAAATGTCTCAGTATGGTTTAGCTGAGGATACAATGAGGTCTGGGAAGCCAGGTGTGTCCGCTAGCGAGTTTTACAGTCAGTCTGCTATCTATGTTGCAGCTGCCCATGCACTGAAGCCAAATTACTCGGTATTTCTTTTTGTCTTTTAATTTTCTAATTTATGTATGGGACTTCTTCATAAAAACTTTATAGCTGACAATGTCCCTTTTTGTATAATTCAGGTCTACCGCAGTGCTTTGCGATTAGTCCGTTCAATGGTAAGACACTAATTTTATTTCTTGACAAACTCTTAATTTATTGTTTATTTTTATCAGTTGTTAGCCAGCAGTAGTTAAGATATGGCTAGAATATGTTTATTTCTTAATTTATTATCTTAGAATTCACTTATCTTTTTTTTTGTTAAGTCGTTTTTATGTGGAAGATAAAAGATGAATAGACATAGGACTTTGAACCTGTCAAATTTTTACTCTGCTGTTCTTTAGTTTTGAGTATACATTGTTATTTCAGTACATGGCTTCTTATCTTATTTCTTGATATGGCAGAAGTAACCTTGTTCTTGCTGTCATTCTATGTCATGCAGCTGCCTTTGCCATATCTCAAAGTGGGATATTTGATTGCTCCTCCAGAAAATAGTGCCATTGCACCACACAAAGAATGGGAGAGGTCACAGTTTGTTTTGAACCATGAAGAACTCCAGCAGGTAGTTCTGCCACTGTTCTTTGTGCACTTGCTTTAGATGATAATATTGTCCATTTTGAAGTTACTGCTGTCTGTAATTGTTCTTTGTCATTATCGTGCCTGCTCAAACTGCTATGTGTTGTAAATTGTAGGTCAATGCCTCTGACCAGCCTCCATCACAATCACCTGGGCATGTGGACAGCGGCAGAAAGCTTTTCAGGATAGTTGTTGCAGACATTGTTTCTGTGTCAGCATGCGCTGATCTAACCCTGCCACCCGGTGCTGGCCTTCGCATCGATACTATTCATGGCCCTAGATTCTTGGTATGCATTTCAATTTGCAATTGTTCATTTGTTCTATCGAAATGGATTACAGATGTTTTCCTTTATCTACAAATGGACTATTTTCTCTGCTTTCCTTGTAAAATGGATAACTACAACTCTATGCCTATAATGTCCTCAGCTATCATTATCAAGTTAGTGACAAACAACTGAGTATATAGTTTCGAGTGCATAACAAATGTTTTGTTGTGCTTGTGGCAGGTTGCTGATAACTGGGAGACCATTGACAGTTGGCTAGACGCTATACGCCTAGTCTACACCATATTTGCAAGAGGGAGGAGTGATGTCCTTGCTGGGATTATTACTGGCTGATGGCTCGCTGCTAGTGAAAAACTGCCAACAAGTATAGGCCAAGAGACTGTAGGAGTATGTCCCGGAATCAGATAGAAGTATCATAGAACTCATGGTTTTAGTAGGCGTAAGAGCAGATGTTATTTGTAACCCATTTATGGACTGGTAGGTCATAGGCCAATTTTCCTTTGTACTGTGGCGTTGTGTCGTCATGGTACATATGATGTGATATAAGAAATAAAAACCGTAATATCCTCTCTAGCCTGTGAATAAAGATGCAACGGCTTGTGGCAGGCGAGTAGGTTGTGTGAACTGCTGTCCTATCTCCCTCTCAAAGAAGGAATAAAATGTTTCCCCTATCTGTTTTTCAGCCTTCAAATCTCTGTTTCTCGGAAAGGAAAACCACATATTATTTACAATGTTACACGTACACAGTTCGGCTTAGCGAACATTTGTTTTCAGACATAATTTGGACATGCATGTCAGTACTTGATATCAAAGGCTCAAAGCGTGTATGCAATTTGCTCCTTGAAGTTTCATAATCTAAGCGTGTATACAATCTCGAGCCGCAGGATCCAGCCGCAGGAATCCAGTGCTGTTCAGATTGAGGTCATTTCAAACCATACTAATTTTTAGGTAAAGTTGTCAAAGATGTGCATATATTTAGTTTCTTATCAATCTTTGGTAAATACATAATAAATCCTGCCAAAATTTAATAAGGTTTATTTTGGTTACAATCTGAAGAGCCCCTCAGTCACTTGATGCTGGACAAGAGATGAATCTCTGAATTGACATCTCCAAGTATTCCACCACTTACTGTAAAGCTGAAGGGAAAAAAACTGAAAAAGAGAAATATTCCCCCGCCTGAGATTTCTCAGAGACATTTCGAAATTTCTCCTCCTCCCAGATCGCCAACTCAAGAAAGAACACCGCCTCCTCCTCCTCCTCCTCCACTCCTACTCCACCGCATCCGCCTCAACCTCCATCAATGGAACTCTCCTCCAAGCGCGAGCGCCCCAAGGACTCCAGCTAGAGTGAGCTCCCTGATCGGGCCATGGCGACGATAGCAGCAGCCCGTGGAATCTCCACCAACGACATCGCCCACATGGCGTTCGTGTGCAAGCGCTAGGCGGGCGCTCTGTGAGTTCACTGCTCCACCTTCGGAGAAGTCTTCAGCTCTGATGCGTCCGTCTCCATTGATGAAGCGCTTCTCCAAGGGTCCTATGGATTCGGGCTGGGGTGAGCTCCCTGCTTGCGCAGTCGTGAGGATCACAGCAGCAAGTGGACTTGCGGACAAGGACGTCAACCACATGGTGTTCCTGTGCCATCACTGGGCGAACGTTCTCCTCGAGGAGCTCACGATGGCATCGGGTGAGTCCCCCTCTTTCCCTCCCTTAGAGAGTTCTGCAGCGGCCACAGGGTGGAGAGGGGGGATGCATTCAGCTGCTATGTCATCATCGCGATGGAGCACCATTCTATACGATTTGTTGTTCGCAATTGCTCTTCGCCTGAAGGATTTGGCCGTGCTGAGGCTTGTGTGCAAGCCATGGTGGGATGCATTCCCAGGTCCACCGTTTCTGGTATGCTCCACACACTTGCTGGAAGAACCACTGGTTGGGGAATCACAAGTTTTGGGTCATTTTCTCCCATGCAAGTTGCAAAAAATTTTCCCCCAAATTCAGTCTGTTGGGGTGGATCTCTTGATGTACTTGGGATAGTCGATTCGGACGGCCACCATGATTGCAGGATTTTTTGTCTGCTCTGTGAGGGAGAGGAGAGATTACCACCATTGCCAGATTCACCTAATGGACTCTTCGTGTTCTAGATCTGTAACATTCTTATGAGAGCAGTTCATGTTGTGGCATCGTCATTACTTTATCATTTCCATGAGAGAAAATTTGTGCTAGTGAATGAGGGTTTACAACGATTTGTCGAGTAGGTCCAAATTAAGATTCCAAGGAACTATACCATTGGTCCAAATTCGGTCGTGGAGACAAACATTAATGGTATTGTTATCCAACAGCCAAAGGTAGCAGAATTTGCCCAAGGAAGTCATTATTCGAGACCAAAAAGACAACACCTCTTTATATGTAATGAGGAGATGTACTTATGTATCATCTTGCATGGAGCTGAAAGGGATGATATCATAGTTAAGCTATTCAGAGCAATTGAGCTAACACTACCACCATCAATTTTGTTCTTGCGAATAGTATTGGTACTTACTCACTTTACCTTGGTGCCAATCAACCTTGGTTCGCCACTTGAATAATGTTTCTACATGCAGAAGGATCAACACTGCCTATTTCGAGAATTGGGACGACAATATGTGGATTGCGTGTTTTAAGCATTAATTTCAGTAGCATCACATCTTTAACTAGACAGGTGAAATAATGGCACAGGAGAACATTAGGCCCCTGCAGTGTGGGTGTGTAAAAATCTCCATAGAGATACAAGTACCGCATGTCATTTATGCTATTAGAGTAGGGCAATACGATGGTCGACCAGAAGGATTGATGATGGCACATCATGGGTGCAATGTGCACAATGTAATTTGTTGTATTAATATCGACTAAGGAAAAAATCTCGCTTGTAAAGGATTATGGTTTTCTATCAATAAAATTGGGTTTGAAATTTTTAACCAAGAGGTTACAATACATGCTTGCATAATTGGCTGTAGTTTTTTTTCTATAATAATAAATGCTTATATAATGAAACATAAGCTATGAATTGGTTACAACAAAATCAGGATCACAAGACTATAAATTCACCCTATGGTGATACCTTTTAAATGACTATAAAGATGTTCCACAATGATTACGGCTATATTAATAGTATGGTGGAAAATATAACTTATTTTTTATGGATGAACTTAATAACTGGGTGTGTGGCAGTTAACTTAAGTTAGTTAAGAAATACATAATGTTTAGAAGTAGCTTTTATCAACCCATCTTACTATTCTTATTCGTATTGTCTATCTCCTCCTGCAGTAGAAGGCCCTTTTGAAAACTGAGTTTAGTCACTATTGAAAACTGAGTTTAGTCACTATGCCAATAGGTTGTCAACCGTTTAAGACATGCTAAAGTTAGAGTGTGTTGATTTTAGTTTAGTTAGAGTGTTTTATTTTAGTTTAGCTCTTGTGAGATGTTTTGTAAATATTGTTATTTTAGCTTTGGTCTATTTGATGGCTGTCTTTGAGATTGTCGTATACAAATGTTGAATTTATAATAGAACGTCATGGATAGTTGGTGTCCCCAACAAGACTCCTTCTATCTATCTACTGTATTGATGTTTTCTTCAGAATTTTAATTACTTAACTGATGTTTGCTGGTAAGTTTGTCATATGCATTATTAATATTTTCCTTCTATTATGGTGATGCTTCTTATTTAGTTTTAAAAAAAAAGTTTTCGGTTCCGCTTAAAATTCAGTCAAATATGGTTGGGATGTTAGATGTTTTGTTAGAACCATAATGAAGAATTTAACATCAAAAAGGTTTGTTTCATATTCATATCAAGTTTTTATTATGTTATTTTGTTTACAACTTATTCAAGTAATTTTTTATTTGTAGTTGCTTAAGATTAGTTGTGAAACTTTATAACAAAAAATATGCCAAGAGCTAAGCCCTTATAAGTATTTTCATCACTTATTTTTTATTTTGTTTATTTTATGATACTATGGTACATAGTGAGTATATTAAGTATCTTATATTCATTTATGTGTATAAAGTGATTATGGGAGGGAAGGTACTGATTGAAGGATAAAACCATTTTGTTTTTTATGTTACTTGAGTTTTATCCTGCTATTTTTTGTTTGTCCCTTTACGTAATTCACTATATAAACAAGTAGATTATTTCCATTTATTTAATCTTTTCAACATTATGAATTATGCAGCTATTTTGAATTTGTACATATGTGTAGTTAAAAAACTATCAAAAATAATAAGTGTTAAACATACTGCAAAATATGAATACGTATCCACCGTAAAAAAAGTAAAAAAAAGCTTTAAATTATAAGATACTATACATGTGTACAGATTTTTGCCTTAGACATTGATAATTACGCACAGATTTTTGCCCTTTACCCTGAGATTGCTAACATAAATAGATTATTTTTATTTTTACTGTTTATTTTTCTTGTTAAGCCTTGTCTAGCATTAGATTAAGTTAATATCACGGTGTTACAACATTTTTTCTGTTAAAAATATAGTTCTGAAGTTCCACAAACTTCAACATAGTAAATAAATGTATAATTGTTTCAGTTTTTGAAGGTTAAGTAGTTTAATAGATACATCCTTTTATTTATTTGAGTAAATTTTGAAACTTGGTGTTGTGTAAGAACTCAGGATCCTATTGTGCATGTGGGGAGGGGTGGGAAGATGAAAGTTATCGTGTGCTTATTAGAATAGTTTTCTACCGTTGGAAATTAATTTGCATTAATCCTAGTTAGACAGAAATATGTATTGATAATATGAATAAATAATTGTACCATTATGAGTATGTATGCATACAAGTTCTAATTATTACATCTTGGAAATATTTTTTTGGTACCAAAATATTAGAATTACCAATGAAGTAAAACTCATCCTAGTAATGTATGATTGTATGTTTTCTGAATTTGAATTTAGATTAACAAAATTAGTTCTTTAACGTAGCTAAGTAATCCACATTGCACTTGAATCTCTAGATAAATCAGCAGAGTATAAGCCTCACAAGCCTCATGTGAGTGCATGGAGTGTTGAAATAAGCATAAAGTATTTGGTGTTCAAATTATTCAGCATTATCACCAAAAAAAACAACGTGAGTAAACAACTGCAACAATCCACAATGATTATTTTTTTATATTTTTCTTATAACTACCAAATATCCCCTCTATTAGGCCCATTTTAAAAACATCAGCATTAACTGCTCATTTTTGTTTGAGCTTGTTACTGTCTACCTACAAAATCTTACACTATGATATTGTTAGTCTGATTGATAAATCGTCCTCTCTTCTCTAACATTTCAAGGCTAAGTAGATTTGTTAACGGTTGCCGTACCGCCGAAGGGCGGGCTTCACTAGTTAAGCGGAAAATGAAATGGTGAAATTGTATTTATTTCTTAAAAATTGGATCCTCTATTACATCCCCTTGGGGTCTATTTATAGGCTTACAGCCCTGGATTCTCAGTTCTAGGGTTTTGATATTACATGAATGCCCCTATGTCAGGGATATTTACGGGGGTAATGATAATATTTTAATTGCACTATGCAACTCATGGGTCCAATTATCCCTTTTTCATGGTGTCAGTGGGCCTCCATGGTTGAATCGAAGAGGCTATTCAGCAATCAGCCACTCACCGCGCGCGGCGCGCGTAGGGGGGCGGCGGCAGGACGCGTGTAGGGGA